ATAATGTTTCAATTTTAATTTTTTTTCTACAAATTCAAATCACTTGAAATTTTAGGGGTGTGTTCATAAAAAATAGATAAATCTTTAAAATTTTGAAAAAAATATTTTACATGAAAAATAATAACCAAAATACCCCCATAAAAACTCGGGGTGTATTTTGGTCAATTATTTTTTTAGGGATTATTTTTTTTTATATTTTTATTAGGTGCGGCTTAATGAGAAGAACACACATCTAAAATTTCAAATACTACCGGATATCTGTGATCGTCATTTTTTATTGTGAGTCTACTGGCTCACAAGATCATTTTCCAGATATATATATATATATATATAGAAAACTCTTCCCAACGCATATGGGCAAAAATGAACAGTGATTTCGCCTACCATCATCACTATCCAAAGTTCATCATACAATCACGATTGTCCATTAGTGTTTCATTTGTCATGTTTTTCTACAAATCAAAATGATCTGAAATTTAGAGCGTGTGTACATCTTAGTGAGACGCGCCTAATAAAAATATATAAAAAAAAAATTCATGAAACAAACATTGACAAAAATACCTCTGAAATGTTTCGACGGTATTTTGGTCAAATTATTTCATATAAAATATTTTTTAATATTTTTTCATAGATTTGCCTATTTTTTATAAACACATGCTCCAAATTTCAGATCATTCCGATTTATAAAAAAATAATGAAAAAATAAAATACTACAGAACAATCGTGATCATATGATGAACTTTGGACGATGCTGAGGATAGGCGAAATCACTGTTCATTTTCGCCTATAGGCGTTTTGTAGTATCTTCCTATATATACAATCCAATTAAGGAGCACCTTAAAATTTCCATAAGGTTGCAACCTTAAACAATCCAATTAAGGAACACCTTAAAAGTTTATCATAATATGTAATTTTGTTGTAAACAATTGTTAGTATTATCTTAAAATATATTTTCGAATCTAATTAAAAAATTTAAAAATCCAAAAATGGTTAAAATCAAGTAGAACTATAAACAAATGAAAATCTTGAAAGTTGACGGTCTAGATAATGTGTTGCAAGATGCACTATATCGGGGACTCAAAAACATTTTTTTTTCATATTCATACAACTCGATGTTGAGATAATCAATTAGAGGGTTTCTC